TGGGGCTTGTCAGCCTCTGGAATTTTGTGAGCTGATCCCTTGTGGTCGCTTTCTCCCTCCCTCCTCCTCCCTCCCCTCACACACACTCTCTCCCCTCATCCCTTTCCCTCTCCCTCTCTCTTTCTCTCTTCTCTCTCCTCCCTTCCCCTCTCTCCATTGTCTTGAGTGTTTCTCTGGAGAACCCCAACTGGTACAAGGTTCCTCTCTCTACTCCAGCATCCTCTGACTTCCCAGAATTCCTGTGCCCCGCATACTTGTGTCGTGTGTTCCTTGGCTACCTAAGCATGAACTCCAATGGGAGCAGCTACTAACCCAAATCACAGGAAGATGATTCTGGGGGTACCACCGTGGGGCAGAAATGGGGCACAGGAGGTCAGTGTTGAGTCTTTTGGAGCTTTCCTGTGTAGGGTCACTACATCAGCAGGGGCGGAGGCAGGAGGACTCAGCTCCCCAAAACCTGTATGTAGCCTTACTTCTTCTGTGCCAGTCATCCGGCTACTTGGGTCAGGCTGTCTCTCTGGAGGCCTGTATGACTTTGATGTCTTTGGGGGCATGGCAGCAGTGGGTTTTTTTTTTGTTGTTTGTTTTTTTCGAGACAGGGTTTCTCTGTGTAGCTTTGTGCCTCTCCTGGATCTTGCTCTGTAAACCAGGCTGGCCTCGAACTCACAAAGATCCGCCTGCCTCTGCCTCTGCCTCCCGAGTGCTGGGATTAAAGGCGTGCGCCACCACCGACACTTGAGTAGGTTGGGGGAGGTTTCCTGGGGACAGAGTGGAGGCCAGGGTGGTGTCTTTCCATACTTTACCACGTCTTTAAGAGACTCCAGTGGTGACCTGAGGCTGGGGACCCAAGTGGTCATAGGAAGGAGGCCACGTTTGGTTTTCTGCTGAGTGGTCAGAGTGTGTATGTCTTGTGACGAGTTTCCTGTGGGGCTGGCCTTCCTGGGAAGTTCATGGTTAAAGTGGATTCGGAGACTGATGACAGCTGTAGTGTTTCCTAGTGTCCATAGATGGAAGTTGAGTTCCTTGCTCTACTACTTACAGCTCAACTTCTCAGAATCTCCTTGCCTCTTGTCACACGGAGACAAAGAAATGGTCCATCTCACAGGTTTTAGGGGATGCAGAGCACCGTCGAACTCCAGCCTTGCCCTCCGGGTCCATTGCATTAAAGGGTAAGGTGGGATCAAGGGATGTCCCCATCCTGAGGTCCCACAGCGGGAGAAACACACAGCAGGCAGAGTCAGGCTCCCCAAGTGTGGATCTCAAGATGGGGCTGTATACCCACCCCTCCTCTCAGGGTTCTGCCTGGCTCCTCCTCACTGACCCATCTCCAGGCATTTGGACCTTTCTCTTTCTCACCACACAGGGAAAGAGTTTCATCTTCTCCCAGACTAAAGCTCAAGTCCCAGTTACACACAGTGATGAAAGCCACACCTGGAGACCAAATGTGGGAGTTAGGTTCCCTCCTCTTGAGTTGTAGCACACTAGGTAACTGGATTATTTGTGAAACACTCCCATGCCTCAGTTTCCCTGTTTTGAACTGAGGGTGGTTTTTAAAGTGCCTCTCTCAGAACTATTGTGGGAGGCGAACCAGGTAGAGGAGGAAAGCAGCCAGCACAGCCTGGTACCTGCGGCTGTTAGATCTTCCTCTGCGGCTACTCCCATTCCTCGATGAGCCCCTTGGCCGGGTAATTCCCAGCTGAGGTCAGCACGCATGTCCCCACCAGAGGTCCAGGTGGAGGCTCCATCAACACCTGTGGGTCTCCTTTTGATGGCATGGTCTAAGGGGCAACAGTGAGTCTGGGGACCTTGTGGGTCCTAGTCTGGCTAGCTAATATCCCACAGGCTGAGCAGGGGCTAGGCTGAGACTGCCCTTCAAATTCCTCCACCACTTGTCCAGGCCCAGGATGTTGTTCCTAGCCCCTTCTCTATCCAGGGTTCAGGCTGCTTGGGATAAGAAAGGCCTGGGGATCCCTTGTTAGATTAACGAACCCAAGAGTCCCCTAACTATAAACAACTCCACTTTGGAGGAACATATTGTCTTATCCCTTGAAATTGCAGGCTGCACACACAACCCTGAGGGATCACTGGGGACAGAGCAGTCATGGCCTTGTAGTCTAGGCATACCCAGTGGGGGGTGGGGTGCGAACGACGGGACGGGACACCCAGCAAGCTCAGGGCCCCTGAGGATAGCCACTCCCAAGGTCTGTCTTTCCTTCCTTCTTGGGTGACTGCTACTCACCCTCCATGACACCTGTGACTGAAAATCCCCAGACTTCCCTTCACAATACTCTCTCCTTCTCTTCCATAGTTCACTTATGACCCTTTGACTTGTCTTTTGTGTTCACAGCTGTCCCTTAGCAACCAGCAGAGTGCCAACACTTGGGAACAGGAGTGAGTCCTCTTCCTTCTCGTTTTCACGACCACACGTTTGCATACGGCAGGTGCTTAGACTAGATCCATTGGACAGAATCAAAGCTTTTTTTTAATGTGTGGTTACACTTTTCCAGAGAGTCTGCTCCACTGCCTCTTGGAATATTTTCAAGATTCCAGAGGCTAAAAATATCATCCCAAAGCTATTGAAGGACTCTTCCATGTAAGGAGTCGAGTTGAGACTACGGAAGCTGAAGGTTTATGACCACCAGGTGGCGCCCTAACCCACACATCTCTGGATGCCTTTTTAAGATGGAAGCATTCTCTTCCCTTCCTCCTGTTCTCTCCCTGCTCACAGAAATGCCCTCTTCAGTCCAGCAGCCAGATTCAGCTGCTAGAAGCTGGTCAGGGTCTCAACCCTAGTCAAGGACACTGAGTACATCTCTCCAGGTGCTTCTGAGTTCCAAACGTGCAGGTTTGGATTCCAGTGTGACACAGACAGTTTCTTTGGGCAAATCACTTTTCTGGGTCCCTGCAAGAGTAGAAAACAAAACACAGATAATGCGTAAAAATACCTGGATTGTAGAGGTGGAGTCAGCTCCATCCGGGGCCTCCTGAGTCTCCAGCAGCTCCTGGAACATGGTTAGCTATTTCAACCTTCTGAGCCTGCTGTCCCTATCAGTGAGTGGATCAGCGCTAAGAACAAGTTTTCCACAGTGTTGGTAACTAACCATCAACTGGAACAGTAAACACAACTTCTCGCCACAGGGCCGAACACAGTAAACATTCTGTTCCCCAAACCACATATATCATGTGTTCCTGGCCTCTAAAATGGTGCTCAGTGTTTAATAAGCACTCTGCCTGCCTGCTGCACGAAACAGTTTTACAGATGAAGTAATCAGACGCAGAGGGTTGGCAGCCCCTCCCCCATGCCCAGCTACAGATACTAAGGCTGCGGCAGGCTGACTCCAGGGCTGTGCTGTCTTATGTAGGTGTAGCTGTTATACACCACCATTTAAGCATTTTCACATGCATCCGGGCCTTTCCTGGGTAGTGTATACAGGCTGGGGTGGCAGTGATAAGCCAAAGCTCTGTTCTTCAAAGCAGAGCCAGGCCGCTGAAAAAGGGACCTGTTGTGTCAGGCTGGGGGACACTGAGTTAAGAACCAGGATATGAAGGGGGCGCTCTACAGTGTAGAATCAGCTGGAGGTCTGATGCAGACGTCCCAAAGACAAATGTGGCTTGCTTAGGTCGGTCCAGTACTGTTCCTGTAGACACTTGGCAAGCAGCTCCATTCGTATGTACTGAGGGTCTCGTACATGGCAGGCCCAGCAAAGATGGAGAAGCCCGGCTAGACCATGGTTTATGACATAGTAGAACCCCTGCAGAGGAATGGTTCAAAGGGAGGCCGAGACAAGCAAACAATTATCAGCATGGCAAGCTGGACCCAAAGCCAGTAGTGCTTAAACTGGACATTGTCTACCAGCTAAGGAGGGTTTGGAAAATGAAGGACATCCTGAGTCTATGTGGGAAACTTGCAAGAAGTGACTGAGTTTGGGCATGGGTGGGGGAAGGAAGTGGAAAAAACAAGAAATTGGAAGTTGTCTGGGCACAGATTACGCAATATGCCACACTGACAAGACACAGCTCCATACTGTGCTCAGTGAGGAAAAGTACTGCTAAGAGCTAAGAATAGCCAGGTCTGTTTCAGAACGCTGCTGAAGTATGAAGGTTGGCTCCCGGGGTGTGGTGTGTGTGTGTGTGTGTGTGTGTGTAGAAGCCATCATTGGTTTCCTGGTCTGAACTCCTCTAGATTTTAGGAAAACGAAGAAAAGAACCGTTCTGCTCTCTTATGTTGTTGGAGGCTTACCCGAGCATGCACGTAGAGCGTGGGTCCTGTAATGCCAACAAACCGTGGCACCGTTAGTCTCTCTGCCATCTGGATGATAGTTAAGCACACAGGACGTGCTGTCTCCTAGACCCAGGCCTGTGTCCTGGCCATGTTAGGTGGCATATTTTTAATCTAAGCATGACACAAAGATGACCAGGAAGGAATGGCCAAGAGTGTTTGGCATTGCTGTGCTCTGTGAGCCGTGGGTGAGGTAGCCAGGCCTCCAGTGATAGTTCCTTACTCTGACCAAGAGAATTTCATGGCTAGACAGTCTGAGCCCAGCTTTGGACAGGGCCAAGTTTGTGGTGGCCAAGTAAAGGGTACTGAGGGTGTCCCAGAGAGAGCAGCGGTGAGCTCAGGCCTCCTGCTCACTTGTGGCACCCAGGCACGCCATGAGGCTTCCATGGGAGAGACTTATGTCTCCCTTCTCCTATGACTGGAGAGAGGGTTAATCATGGGGGTTCAGACACAGGCTGGGAGAACTCTGTTGTAGCCAGTTTCCTTCATGGAAGACCAGCCAGGCCCGGGAGGCAGGGCGAGCTGGGGTGTCTCCAGATGTGGCAAACTTGACCCAGCAGCGCGGGCAGCCTGGGCAGAAGGCCTGCCATGGGCTAGGGGGTGCGAGCCTTCAGCCCTGGCCCGAGGATGAAGGAATGGAGAAGGGGGGGGGGGCGTTGGGGGGGAGCCAGGATGAAGGGCGCGACGGCAGGAAGCAGAGAGGCGCGAGCAGGGGTGGAGACCGACGGGGGACGGCCAAAGAGCGGGTAGGAGGGCTGGAAAGAGAGAGAGAGAAAAGAGGAGGAGAGAGGGAAGGAAGGAAGAGTGGCCAGGAGAAGCAGGAGCTAGGAGAAGGACTCGGAGCAGAGTGAATCGTGCAGGCCGCAGTGCGAGCAGCGGGGGTAGCCGGCTCGGAGCGGGCCGCCCCCGCGAGCAAGGCGCAGCCATTCCGCTGCTCGGGGCGCCGCCGCCGCCGCCGCCGCGTCCGGGGGCCATGCTCCCGCCGCCCCCACGCCAGCCGCCGCCCCAGGCGCGAGCGGCCCGCGGATCCCTGCGCCTGCAGCAGGCCTTCCTGCGCGGCCCGTTGGGCGTGCTGCGTCTGCTGCAGCTGCTGGCCGGAGCCGCCTTCTGGATCACCATCGCTACCAGCAAGTATCAGGGCCCCGTGCACTTCGCGCTCTTCGTGTCGGTGCTCTTCTGGCTGCTCACCCTGGGGCTCTACTTCATCACGCTGCTGGGCAAGCAGGAGCTGGTGCCCGTGCTGGGCTCGCGCTGGCTCGTGGTCAACGTGGCGCACGACCTGCTGGCGGCCGCTCTCTACGGGGCCGCGACGGGCATCATGATCGACCAGACGCAGCGCCACAGCTACTGCAACCTCAAGAGCTACCGGCTGCCTTGCGCCTACCATGCCTTCCTGGCGGCCTCCGTCTGCGGCGGCCTCTGCCTCGGCCTCTACCTGCTCTCGGCGCTCTACGGCTGCTGCCGTCGCTACCAGGGCAAGGAGGAGGTGGTGTGAGGCCTCCCACTCCACTGCGGCCCAGATCGGTGCGGGGATCCCTCCCGAGCCCTTCCTGCCGCCGCCGCCCCGTGCCGGCGCGCCCCTGCACCCTCTCCCTGCCTGTGTTTTCACTGCCCTCGCCCTGGATTTCCGACGTTCAGTTCCAGTCTGACTGCTGCACCGCAGCTTAGCCCAGAGATCAGCTTCCAGGGACCAGCGCAGCTATCCGAGGCGCTGACGCACACACTCAGACTGGCCGCCCCAGGCGAAGCCTGGAAGTCCCTTTCCCCATTCCTTGTCGAGAGCTAGACGTGGACAGGCGCCGCCGCGTAGATCCGGGGGAGGCTCCCAAATTGGAACCAGTCTTTGGGCCGCGCCACTGCCCCCTCCCTCCCGGCCCTGCACTCGAAAGAGCATCATCCCCTCCTGCCCCCTCTTCCAGCCTGGGGTGGTGTAGAATGCAGCCAGGCAGCTGCAAGTGGAGCTGGGGACAGGCCTTAGCTGGTGCCGGAATGAATGATGTCTTTAGTTGTAGTTTGGATTTCTCCCTGCGCAGCCCTACATCATCGAAGTCTTTGGGTGGAGCCAGCCACAGGAGTGGTGCATAGCAAAGGCCCGCTAGCTGTACCTTACTAAACAACGCGAGTCTCTCCGCATTTATCCTTGGGGTTCATCCAGACCAGGCCAAATGCACTAAACTTCCCTGGCCTCTCAGACGTCACTCACCAGCTTCTGCTGCACCTCACCCTTAAATATGTTTGTATTAGGGGTCCTATGTGACTGTTAAGGTGATGCCCACCCCTTTGGGGACCCAGATCCCGCTCTTGGGAACAGTCATTTTCAGATAAGAACCACATTATTTTCGCTTCAAAGCAGTAGGTTATCTAGGGAGCCATTCAGGTGCTACCTCGGGAAGAAGGCTGAGAAGGCAAATGGGCCTGTCAATGGTGCTGTCTTCCCGTGCAGATTCACAATGTTAGTATGAGGTCTCAGAGAAATCCCACAGGTACACGCCCACACATGGTCATTTAGTTTACTGAATTACTACTGGGCCTGAGCCATTCCGATCTCAAGATTGCCCCGTGTTGCATAGGTCATTCCCACAGTTTGACCCACTGAAGATTGGGAAGCTCCTCTCTCCCTGGGAGTTTCCCTAACTGGGGGTGTCCACCCAATGACAAAAGAGCTGGATGCCCTTCACCAGCCAGAGACCTGAGAACTGTTGAATATTCTTTCACATAGTTGGAAAAATGAAGCGAAGGATACCCAGGTGGTCTTCCAGTCAAAACGACAGTCATTTGTAAGAGACCCTGGCATTGACTCTGAGCAGCTGGTGGGGTGAGCTCTGCCACCAAAATGAGAACTCTCTGGACCTGGGGTGGACAGCTGGTGCCACCTCTAAGGTAAGACATTTTTGGATAATTGGGAAGTATCATAGGCCTGTGAACTGAAAGCATGGTGTGTCCCCCCCCCCCCCCCCGTTTTCCAAAAATGAACGTGATTTCATTACTCAAAGCAAGTAGAAAAAAATGACAGTGATAACCACCGACATGTGAAGATTCAGATTTTGACTAACTCCTTCAAAGGTCTATTCACAAGCTCAGCTTTCTCTGGAAACACGAGGATAAAGGATACTGCCTGTTAGAATCGGGGGCTCCTATCATGTAGAGGGTGCATCTGTCAGGGAGCCGCACCCAGGCCCTGCAAGTGTTTTCAAGCCCAGGTGTGGAGGTGTTGGGTTTGTCTGCTGTTGTTGTGAAGGCAGTGGTTGGAGTGGACTATAAGTTTTATGTAGCACTTACTGTAGCCCTACTGTGTGGGTATATTGCTTGAATGCATGTGTCCTCTGGATAGTACTGTGAGATCAATACCCAAAGTCCCCTTGGTAATGTGTAAAGGAGGCTGGCTTTGAACCCTGACAGTCCAGCTTCTTCCATACTATGTTTAGTAAGGGTCAATACATATTTGATACAGCAATTTTTTTCTGGGGCTAAGGGTGTGGCTTGGTAGTAGAATAATGAACAGTATATAGGAGGCCCTTGGTTCGTGACCCAGCATCAGGAATATTTTTTCCTAAATTGGTAAAATATGCATGACCTGAAATTTGTCCTTGTAACCAGCTTTCAGGGCACTTTGGTGGCAGTAAGGACAGTCACACAGCTGTACGACCATCACCACCACGAACCTCCAGAACGGTTTTCATCTTGTAAAACAGCCTGTATCCACTAGGATTATGGGAGTTCAAGTTGGGTATGCTCACACAGGCATGTAATCCTAGAATGCTGAATGTTACGGAGGGTGGATTTTGAATTTAAGGCCAGCCTGGACTACATAGTAAGTTCCAGGCCAGCCTCAGTCACATAATAAGACCCTATCCTTCAAAGAAACAAAACAAAACAAAAGTCTGTGAGGGATTTTTGTTGTTTTTTTTTTCTCTCTGGGGAATCCCAGGTCACAAACTCTGATGTTCTTCATGGTCTTGGGCTAGCTCTACCACCATGCTCCACAGAGGAGGACTTTCCCTTCCTTCAACAGAGAGTAGCAGTCTGTGCCTAGGGTGGGCTTTGCTGGGACACCTTGATAACCAGTGATCCTTGTTCTGATGTTGCAGGTTTCCATGTTGCTGAGGTCCCAAAGACTCCCCTGCCTGCTTGGCTGCACTGGTCTCCCTGGGGCCAGCAGAAGGTTTGGGAGTCTCCACAGCCGTGGGGCAGGTGGGGAGCAAGAAGTCTCTCCTTCACACTGTCTGGTGGACGAGGCATGGTGGGGAAGACTGGTTTCTTCCTTGATGGTAGAGGATTCCCGATTCTCCTACATTATAATTCTGGGCACAAGATTCTGGACCCTTGGGACTGATCTCTGCCCGTCTCCCATTCCGTAGATGATGGATTTCAGTTCCAGCTTTGCATCTTTTCCCTGTTTGTCTTTTTTAGACCACTAAGCTCAGGTCTCGTTCCCTGAGGATCTCAGCCCAGTGCTCTGGGTCTGTGGCCAGGTGACCTTACTCAGGGGCACACATCTTGGCCTTACTGGTGCCCCATCCACCCAGATGTGCCTGCAGCGTTCCAGAGCCCACTGGCTCTTCCTGATGTGCCTTCCAGCTTGGCTTCCAGCAGCTCGGTGGTCCCTCAGTCTCCCAAGTGAGAAGGACGCATGGGACTGCTGTGCCACGCACCTTTCCTCAATTGCCACAGAATGGTCACCTGATGTGGCCCAGAGCACTTGGATACTGGCAGTAGTGTCCACAGCATACTTCTCTGACACCAGGACTGGGGCCAGGCCAAGACCACCCAGACCCCTCCCAACCAAAAGTCTGGGGCCTTTTGTGGGCCCAGGAGACAATTTCAACAGTGTGTACAAAGGCCAAGCAGGGGTGGGTTTTGGTAAAGGGAGAGTGGCTAGAGGGAGGGGCCATGTGCCTTACCCAGCAGTGTAGTCATGGTTACCCCAGGATGCTTTTCGGAATAAAATTTGGTTTGTCTGATCTTGTGTCTCCCGTCCTAGTCCTCTGTGGTAACCTTCAGCTGGGTTTCCCCCAGCAACCCACCCTTGCCGCCTAGGAGGGAAGGGAAATGAACTCACAGGTTTCCACTGTGGTTAGTAGGGGCCCGAGGGCAGAGTCCAGAGAGAAACACTGGTTTCTGTGAGTGTGAAGGGAGCTGCAGAGGTTTCCTCCCCTCCTGTTTGCTCTCTACTGGCTCCTATTAATGGGCGCCACTCCCTGCCAGGCTGGGAGGGAGGGAGGGGCTGTGGTAGAGCCAGCAGGGTCCTGTTCCGGTCCGCCCCATCATACCGAGGATGAATCAGTCCAAGACACAGAAGCAACTTGTCTAATGCCTTATTATGATTATGAGCAAGGCTGGAGGCGCCTGCAGCCCAGGCCATGGCTTGTCCCTGCCTGGCCTGTGGCCCTGACCCCCCGGGGTTAGTGGCCTTCTGTTCCCTGCTGACAGAGAAGCCCTGGAATATTTGAGTCTTGGAGCAGAGGGAGCAGCTTCTTGGGTCCCTCCTGCTGCTGGGAAACAGGATCCCGCTGTCTGAGTTTACCTCCCTGGGAACAGCCCCCGCTGGGATCTGATGCCATCTGTGCCCCAAGCCTGACTGTTCTCCTCAAGACCCTCCTCCAGCGTGAAACTCAGCGGGCGTGGGCACATCCCCACCTCCTTTCTCTTCTTGTTTTGGTTTGGGATTTCCAGAGTAAAGACAAGAGTCACCTGCTAAAGAGCTCACCCACCCCTATATGTCTTTCCATGTCTTTGTGTGTCTGTGTGTACCCATGTGTGGGTAAACACCACATGGAGGCCAGAGTCGACTTCAGAAGTCTTCCTCATCTTCCTCAATTGCTTCTCCACTTTAAAAACAAAACAAAACATGTCTCACCAGATAGCCCTGGCTGGCCTAGAGCTGGCAACGTAGACCCAGACTCACAGTGATCCCCCTGCCTCTGCCTCCTGAGTGCTACCATACATGACTTCCACCTTATTTTCTTTAGATGTTTTTATTTTATTTTATTTTATTTTATTTTATTTTATTTTATTTTATTTTATTTTATTTTATTTTATGTGTATAAATGTTCTGTTCCATGTATGACTGTGTATCTTGTTCACCCTGGAACTAGAATTGTCCATGCATGTGAACTACCATGCAGGTGTTGGAAACACAGGTGTGTGTGTGTGTGTGTGTGTGTGTGTGTGTGTGTGTGTGTGTGTGTGAACCTGTGCAAGAATAACAAGTGCTCTTACCTCTGAGCCATCTCTCCAGCCCACCTTATTTTTTTTGAGGCTGAGTCTCTCACTGAGCCTGAAGTCCACTGATTGGCTAGGTCAACTGGCCAGGAAGTCCTAGGGTCCCTCCTGTTTCCATCTGCTCATCGCTGGGATTACAGGTATGACACCACACTCAGCTTTTAGCACTCAGGACCACCAGCCCAGGGGTGACATCATCCACAATGGGCAAAGCAATCCCACATTAATCACTAATTAAGAGAATGTCCTAAAGGCTTGCCTACAGCCCAGTCTTATGGAGGCGTTTTCTCAGTTGAGGCTCCCTCCTCTGATGACTCTAGCTTGACATAAAATTAGCCAACACAGGGGTAAGGATATAGCTCAGTTGGTATTGGTCTGGGCTTCCCTCCCCCAGCTCTGCTGGCTCTTCTATAACTCAGTCATTTTGGCTACGCCAGTCTCTTAGCACAGGCCACCCCTCTTGGGGGGTGGCTCCTTTCTTGCTCTTCCTCCTCCTCTCTCTTCACATGACCCAGCTCAGTCTCTCCATGTTCACTTTGTTTTTTTTTTTTTT